CGATTAAAAATTAAAATGCAGAATACGTTGTCCCCCTGGAGGACTAAGATGTAATACCTATTTTCCAGTAAAAAAGGTTTCCGGATATCTAAACTCACCACTAACTCATTTCACGCTTCATAAGAATGGATTTAACGATATTCCCATTAAAAATACATAATTTTTTATGTCTACGTTACCTACGGGTCTCAGCTAGTACATATATAGAACCTAGTTAACGATATAGATAAGATAACGAGATAGATAACGTCCTCCAATTGAGTTTCGATCACGGCGGCCAGTCTCAACGGAGAGTAGACATGGACATGTCCCCATGGACCCAGGACAGGACCACAGCGTCAATATCAAGCAAAGATTCCTATAGGACGGCAAACCAAAACGACTGGACGAATTCGCAGGGCCTACTGCTCCGCATGTTTTCCTAGGCACGATGGTGAAACACCGCCAACTTCATAAATCCGGACCGCTACTAAACATGAACCTAGTAACTGATTTTAACCCTACTCAGGATTCGAGCCCCAGACCATATAATCAGCAGTTGCGCTTTTGACCACTAGATTAACGAGGTAGTCAAATGTACATTATAATTTATGTTGTGTGCCTATGACTTGTGAGACAAAGCGTTGACTCTGTTCTCGTTGTGATTCAATTTGTATCAATATTCGAAAGTAATATACCAAAAAATAATGACTGAATACACAATTATTATACATATAACACAAAATATTATATTCTTGATAATGACTAAATAAAATTATCATATCCATCATAGTCCAAACGGATCACTAAGCTGAAGTGAATGGGACGACCATATAGCTTGAAGAACCGACAACCGATAGGGAAGAAAGGTTCCCGAGTGACAGCCTCGGTAGCCGAAGAGGCGGCCCCCCAATAGATCGAGTGACGAACTGGTAAACATGCCATGCTTTGTGGCATCATTAAGGTAGGCTGTTCAGCAGTGGACTTGTAAAGGGCTGTAATGATGATGATGAAATAAAATTATTATATTTACTTTACTATGCTGTTTAATCGAACCCTAAAAATGTATGTAATAAAAAACAAGCGGAGGTGTCGTTCGGGCCTTGTCGCGTTATCTTAGTTATGAACGGCGATCAATCAACGCTACGTTCGGAAATTAAAATTTAAAACAATAAACGTTGACCGTTGCCCCTACTGCTATGTCTGACACGTGCCTTATATTTCTGTAGCTAAGGCTCATTTTATTAATACTGATAAAATTATTTGGCGGGATCTTTGGCATTATTAAATTATTTTGTTTGGTTATAATTCTCATAATATTATTTCATTAATGAAGCGATGTTCTTAAATATATTTTTGTTATTCTTATTTGCGATTTGTTGATGTAGTGGACCACCATTTGCTCTTTAAATATTATACTCGTAATTTATAACAATAAATTTAAAATTGCTAACATCTCAACAGTCTCTATATAACCAAGTCTACGTAATGATAATTCTACAGAAGATTAAATTGAATGTAGAATTCTGTTTATTTCGAAAATTTATGTTAAAATCTATATTATAACTTTTACCTATAAATATTATAATGTTTAAAAGGTTTCCGTGTGGCAGTGTCGCACCTATATTAGTAGTAAGTATAGGCTATATTAGTAGTATAGTTGTAGCACGAATGGGTCGGCTCGATCAGGGAAGCACCACGCTTACCAGCGTGAAATAGCAGCTCAACGCTGCTGTGTTTCGTATGGTGAGTTTGGAGAACCAGAGGCCCATTTTACTGGAAACGAGGCATTCCATCTAAGTCCTGGGTGATAACGCGTCTGCATTTTGATTCGTAATCGAGGATAAATGTATATGTCTATGGCCACAGTAACCACTCACCACCAGGTGGACTGTGTGCTCGTTTATCACCCTTATCCTTTTTAAAAAAGCGGTAAAAGAAGTGTAATGCGGCCCTCTCTTCTAAATGGAATGTGTTAGTATGATATACGGAAGTCTATGGATGCTCATGGCTCAGAACCATTTTTATGCCAAGGCTTGGGGTAGATCTAAGTTCAACAGCGGATTTGTAAAGGGTTGTAATGACGATAGCGGTGTTAAAGGAATCCTAGACTTCCAGAACACAAACAAACGTTATTAATAGGATTATACTTGAATAATTTGACACATTCGCACAAAAATACAATATATCGTTACGCACAAAAATACGATATACCGACGCCATTCTAAAAATACTCCGGAGTATTAAGCGCAATTAAAAATTACGTATGTCAGCGTCAGGGTTGGCAAAAAACGCCCGGCTACAAGAGGTCTAGGGCTGTCATATTGTTATCGGTTAATATTTTTAAAGCTAGCAAGCAATAAATAAGTAATAAATAAATAAATATAGCAATTTGTCCGCCGCGCTACCCCAGTGCGTTTTAGCGTACTTCACATAATCTCAAATTATTTAATTACTCAGTTATTCACGTATTCTCACAGTGTTTTTCTTCACCATCGAGCTCGCAGTAAATCAGCACTTAAAATTGCAGTTAACAATTTTGTTGGCATCGGCGGCGATAAAAACCAAGTCGCTCGCATACTGTGAAATTCGCAGGGAGTGCTTAACCCCCTGAGCTACCTACCACGGGCTTTTTGTTAACTATTTATTTTTATTATTAGGCTATTTTTTTTAATTATTAGGCTATTTATCCATAAAAACGAATTATTATCGTAATTTATAAAATATAATTTACAGATTAAAGAGTATTTTATTTAGCCTTATAATATCAGCGTTTAAAGAGACAAGTTGTGAGAATAATTCTTTATCTCCCTTTAAATTTCCCTTCAATATTGTAAATTGTCAGCTTGTATACATCCCACTATTTTGTATAGGCCTCTTATTTCTGGAAGGATTATAAAGCAATTAGTCTGCCTACTTCAGTGCATTTAGACGGACTGCACATGTTTTCGAAACATTTCATTCTTTATTGTAAGTTTCCTATGGAGGTTTTCCTTTACTCCAGAACACGTGATAAATCAGCAATTAAAATTGATATTAAAAGACTAATTTGGAAAATTTTGCGAGCTGTTATGGATCTTGATAATTTGACATTGAATTATTATAATTTCCATATATTAATAAACAATGTATAATTCTTCATTTTAAATATCTTCATTATGCGTATGTAAGGGGGAATAACTAGTTGGACTACTTTTCTGCCTAGAAGCATTATATAAAATTAAAAAAATCTTATCCAGATGGAATAGGCTTTTTTAATTTTATAGGAGAGGGGACAAACGGGCAAACGGTTCACCTGATGGTAAGTGACCACCGCCGCCCATGAACAACTGCATCACCAGGGGAATTGTAGTTGCGTTACCGGCCTTTAAAAAACAGTAGGATCTTTTCTTGAAGGCCTTAAGTCGTATCGGTGTGGAAGCAGCAGTGCTTGCATTGCTGTGTTTCAGTCCGAAGGTATTTCACTGCATCTGTAGCCTTCATTGTTTGGAGTTGGTCACAGAGTCACATGTGTCCATTAACTAAAGCAGCCACCTACCTTACGGTGGACAGTAAGTACGTTTGTTAACTTAATGTTTAATAAAAAATACCAAGCTCAATAATACCAAGTCAGGTGAACGAACAAACGAGCCTATAACAACAGATTATTAAATGCTCATCCAAGAACACTAAACCCTAATTTCATAGACAGGTTACTGACTCTGCTAAACAATGTGACACTATCGGCTCTGGACTAATCAATTTGTTGGGGCTAGCTTGTTAGTTAAGGCCGATCATCCAAGACTACACGGCATTGGCGGTATTAGAATAACTACTACTTCACATCATCCTTCTAGTGTCCCAAGAGGCGACAGAGGAAAGCAATGGAAATGGGCAGCAACATCTTTCTAAAAACGACCTAAAATAAAAAAGTAAACAACAGTTGTTAAATCACTTGCCAAGCGTGGCAAATATCCCCCGTAAGAGGCAATCTATGGGGGAGGCCTATGTTCAGGGTGGACTTTAATAGTCTTTAACGGTAATGGTAAACGTCTCTGAAATTAATGTGTAAGACGCCTTTCCCGAAATATGGCATCTTCACTTACTACTTAGATACCACTAATACTACTACTACTTAGATTGTACAATGGCCAGATTTCTAAATGTTATTGTATTTATTGCTAAAATATAACATGATTTCCGTATAAATTTTCGAGAAATATTTTAATTTAGTTAATGTTCCGATGTATTTTGTACTGGCAGCCCTACAGTAGATTCAAGGAATCTTATGCCTAATTACTTAATCACTGAAGAGAAACATTCTTTTCATTATGCTTTTGCACGTTTGAAACGATGATATGCGTATTATGGAGTGTAGAAGTAAGGAGTACATACTGTGTATTAAAAAGTGTCCATAGAAAACCGTTAAATAAGGGTGGCGCCACTATAGCTACGGGGTAAATTTTAAAGAACGCACTGAAAAATATTAGTGGGATAGACGACTTTTTCGAGGTTATTTACTAAATAAAATTATTTTAGATTTTAGAGCTACTGAGCAGTTTAGCAGCACACTTAAACCGTCGACAACTGCTAAGTTCATTTCATCTCAGTAGCTACTCCAGCGCTGTTGTGGAGAGTTTTTGAACTATTATTTACTGCTTACAGATGGCCACTTTTTCAACTATTCTACTATGGGAGGTTGGTACTCCTTACTTCTACACTTCATAATGCGTATAAAGGTCAAAAAAATGTGAAATCATTTTTTACTGTTCAGTTATGTTAAAGATTTTATACGATGATTGATTGTTTTATATATTTAAAATAAGACAATTACGTACATTCAAGCTTAGTCCGAGATAAGTTGGGGAGTATCGTCTACACCTTGCTCGATGAACGCGTCCTTTTACAGTAGATCTAAAACAAAAAGTTGCAACACGAACGCAACCTAACGCTTCTCAAATGTCATTCCTTTTTCCCCGCGTTTGATGAACGAATTGAACGATAATCAATTTGAAATTGAATTGGCGCAGTAATTACCTCATATGAGCGCAGTAAATTTCGAAAGTTTTTGTACAAATTATTTGTTTTACATTGGTTTAAAATGCTTGAGCAAATATAAGAATAAATATGAACGTTGTAAAAGACGTAAAGACGAACATTCAAAAGATAATAGAAACGAAAATGAGGTTGGCGATGTTGGTAAGTCTGCTTTTATTATGACTTAAATTTTATAAAATTATTGGAAATTAATTGACCGATTTATATGGAACTTTAAAGATATAATATATTATGTACTATTTCAAAGTTAAACAAATCGTTTTAAAAGATCATTAATGTGAATGTTAAAGGGAATTAAAAATAATATTTACTTATCCTCCAACCAAAACACACAATTTTCTGTGTATAAACATTTGAGACTATCCCGTGGGGCATAGTCACGACTTTTCCATGGGGATTAGTCGGCCAGTCATAATATGCCTGGTTATAATATGTCACAAACTCAAAGCGAGTGTCGCTTTTGACTTATCCCGTGGGGATATTAGTCATGCCATACCATTAATATAGAGGCCCCTTAAAGTGAGTACTATTAAACCATTACATTGCTACTATAGTAAAAGACTATAAGTAATTTATGTGCTTTACATTTCTAATGGGAGAGTGGAATGAAAAAGAATAAGAAAATTTGCATAATGTATGTATACTATTATAAATATTAAATTTCAGTGGAAAGTGTTGATTCAGAAGAGGAGATTATTCTTGAAAATATTGAACCAGAGGAGGAGGAGGAGGTAGAAATAAGGGAAGTTAAAGAAGAACAGTTAGAAGAGGATATTATAGAAGCCATGGGTCCTCCGATTTATACTGAATCTTCTCGTGGTCAACCAACACGCCCTGAGATATACAAAATAGTCGCAGGTATTTTGATGGAAGGTTTGAATAAGAAAAAAATTGAAACATTTATCAAAGAAAATACCGGAAAATGCCATTTTGTTAGTAGCATCACTACTGAATCCTGAATTACATATGTTAGCGGATTCAGTTAAAACTTAAAACAAGAGACAAGAAAATTCTATTAGGAGTAGCCACAGTTTCTTTATTAAAATGTATAGATAATTTAACAAAATAAAACAAACATTTAATAAATTAGATATAATTAAAAACATGACAGAAGCAGCCAGAATTCTAGCCCACCTTCACTCAGAAAATACAGTGATTAGAAAGAATCTATTATTACCACATTTGGATAAAACTATATCCAAGACTCTTGGTGATCTTGGACGTTGAACATCTCAGTCCCGCCCGTGACCATGAGTGCTGTAAAGCGTTCGAAACGTCGGGTATTTAAAAAGTTAAATATACGCGATAAATTCCGTAAAAACTAGTATTATTTCAATCTTAAGTCCCTAAACAAATTCATGAATCCTCCACACTTCAAATTAGAAGATATTCGTACCTTAAGCAAAATGGTGACTAAGGACAGAGTTAGTTATATACGTACATTAGACATACAAAATGCATACTATTTAATTAATATTCATGATGATTTCAGAAGATTTTTACATTTTGAATATAAAGGAATCTTGTATGAGTTCAATTGTTTACCATTTGGATTGTTTACTGCACCATAATATACTTTTACATCTCATCTCAGAAATCAAGGCCACGTAAATGTTGCCTATTTAGATAATTGCATAGGTCTCATATGCAGAGTGCCTAGACAATGTTCGCAAGACTGTAAATTAACTCCAGTGTTTAGGTGTTGTAATTAATTTAAAAAAGTGTAATTTAATTCAGTCACAAGAAATAGAATGTTTAGGTTTTGTCATAAATACATAAAAATAATATTAAAACCTACAGAAAATAAAAATAAATCTTTATTATCTGCAATATATAAATTTCTTAATTTAAACTAGTGTTCTATTAGAGAATTTACTGCCCCGGTAGGTAGTTTTGTATCTATATGTATGGCAGTATCATATGGATTTGTATATACAAAAATATTTGAGAGGGAAAAATACATAGCTTTTCAAAGATCAAATGGAGAAATGAAAATGAATGAAAATGTGAAGTTAGATTTATTATGGTGGCAAAATAAGATTAATACCGCATATAATCCAATAAAACAGTATCACTTTATATTAGAAATTTGGTCTGACGCTTCTAGTACAGGTTGGGGAGTACACTGTGATGGTAAAGTGGCATGAAGTTTTTGGTCTATTCAAGACAAACAAAATCATATAAATTATTTAGAACTCTTAGCAGCATACTTTATATACAAAAATATAAAAAATTGTGAAATATTATTGAGAATTGATAATACAACTGCAATTTCATAAATTAATCGTATGGAAGGTGTTCAATATCCTAAGCTTAACAACTTATCTTGATTTTTGTGGCAGTTTTGTGAGAAAGGAATGATATGGGTTTTTGCCTCTTACATTAAATCAAAAGATAATAAAGAAGCAGATGCTGAATCTCGAAATAGAAATATAGATGCTGAATGGGAATTATCACATGATAGTTTTAACAGGGTGGTCACAATGTTTGGCCAGCCAGACATTGACCTTTCTTGCATCTAGGATTAATACAAAATGTATTAAATGTGTCATGGCAAAGAGATCCAGAAGCATGGAATATAGATGCATTTACATTAAAATAGTCTAATTTCTACTTTTATGCATTTTCACCATTTTCAGTTCTTTTAAAAACAATTCAAAAAATTAATAATGAAAAGGCAAGGGCATCATTATTTTCCCTGTTTGGACTGTTCAGCCCTGGTATCATATGAAATCAATGATAGACTCGGAAGTAATTTACTTTCAACCTTCATCACAACTTACCCTGGGGGTATGCATATTATCAGGACAGCATTCCAATTAAATAAAACCCCAGAGTCGGCATGTGATTTGATGTTAGCATTTGTGTCCTCAAATACATTAAAACAGTATAATACATGATTAAAACATTGGTGGCATTACTGTATGGAAAATAAACATAAAATCTATAGGGCATCAGTGCCTAATATAATAGCATATTTAACAGAGTTATATAATAAGTTTAAAGTTATCAGACCCTTAATAGATCAACTTTCCTTAATAATAGGATCACAACTAGGAACAGATGAAACAATAAAAATGTGGTTTAAAGGAGTATGTAGGCTTAGACCACAAACTCCAAAATATAGTGGGACATGGTGTACAAAACAGTATGTAGGACAAACTGTACTTGATTAAAATTTGTTTTTAAAATATTTTTAATTTACATATTATTACTACCTAGTTGTAATAACAACCTACTTTTAGTTTTTGTTTAGTAAAGATAACATTTTAATAAAAGTCTTCCTCTCTTATAATTTTAAGTTCCAATTTAATTTGCAAATGCAGGGAGAATACATATTTTTACTCATTAACTCTGAACATCTACCAAGTTATCTCGGACTAAGCTTGAATATAATTACATAATTAAATGAACTTACCTTAAGTGAAGTTCAATTTTAATTATATAAAAAGCTTAGTCCGAGATATGAATTCCCTACCCACCCCACATAATAAGTTTGCAACTTATTAACCCAACTAAACAATAGATTCTAATATTTACTCTAAAAAGAATGACATTTGAGAAGCGTTATGTTGCATTCTTGATGCAACTTTTTGTTTTAGATCTACTCTAAAAGGACGCGTTTATCAAGCAAGGTGTAGACGGTACTACCAAGTTATCTCGGACTAAACTCTTCATATAATTGAAATTAAACTTAAGGTAAGTTCGTTTAATTATGTAATTATTCTTTAGTTTAGTATAAAAAGAGACGATGAGAGGGCTTCAGGGCGCGGAGATATCCACCGCGATGCCTCAATACGTAATATGATTTTCAGACTTAAAACGTCTTCAATTTTTTTTTAATTTCTCAGATATTCTGGTTTCCCAACTATATTTTCCTCAGTGGCGAAGCCTCCACACAAGCCCAGAAGACCGGTTTGCCTTATCAAGCTGAATCAATCAATATCAAAAATATAATAAGTGTAATAAAATAACTCTTAAACTGTTTCAAACTATTTCAAATTTCCCGCGCGCTCTGTGTGACCTTGTAGCCTTAGGAATACTGCTCTCATACATATAACGAGAGTTGAATTGAGCCATTGGTTGTCTCCCTCGCACACGTGGGCTTTTTACCGGGCTTTCGAGAAGGATCGCTCCTTTCTAACCTGTGGCAAAATGTTCTATAATGAAATATAACTACGATTGTATAAATAGCAATTAGTATGGAGATAAAAAGCCCGGCTTTTTAGTGACCATCAATTTTTTCCTCAGAGCGGGACGCCTTTAAAATTATTATAGTTTTAACACTTTTGACTGCCTTCTTAGTCTAATTGTCGTAAACGCAATCATATGGTCCTAAGTTCGAAACCTGAGTCGGGTCAAGAATCATTTATTGGGATTTTCTGTCACAAAATTCTCAGTAGCAGTAGTATTACACTTGGGCAATGTAATCCAGATGCGCAGATGGCTATTTTCCGTTGAGAATGGCCTTGTTACCAAAATTCAATCTGAAGCTCTTTAATATAGGTTTATAAATAAAACACATAGTTGTTTGAATCTTTTAATGATCTAAAGTGAATTCTGAATATCAAATAAATACTAATTGGAAATAACTTACGTTATTTGATAATTTATTGTAGATTAATTAAAAATTGTCACTTCGTACCTTTGAATTCAAAAGTGTAGCTTTTCAGAATAATCACGTAACTACAAGCCATGCTGGCAAACCTGGTACGCGTGGTGTCACAATGATGGCACGGGTGACAGAGTTTGCATGATTATCACACTTTTGTTTGTCAAAGCGGGACATTTTTACGTATTTTGGGGACAGCGCGACACAAACCTTTAAATCGGGAACGTCCTGCCTAAAGGGGGATGTATGGTCACGTTAGGTATGAAGTTAGTCGAGACACGGAGGCGCGCGGGCGACGCCGACGATGTGTTTGCAAGTTCACGTCACATTTCTTTTACATTGTTTTAGCTTGGCATTATTATATGTAAATATTGTGAGTTGAAAATTTATACTTTTTTAAAGATTTTTAGTGAAAATGGAGGGAAAGAGTGTTCTTTGTGATGAATATAAGTGTTAAAGTGCTAATCAGCGAGAAAAAGGTAAAATCTTTAAAAATAAAATTTTAATTCAATAAACATTTCTTCACACTTTAATAGGTACAGGGCTCTTTAGTATTAAAGTTTAATTATTCTAGGCGTATTTAAAAGTTTAATAACTCAATACTTATATTACCATATGAGTTAAAAATATCATTTTGAACTGCAGCATAAAATATCATTTACTTAATTCTTTAGGTGAAGTCATTTTATCGAACGAAAATTGATTGATTCTACGGTCATACAACCTATCTAGCAGTAGTATGCCTTCTGTGTGCTTTGTTAAATACGTCCTCGACAGCAGTGAATATGAAGCTAAAGGGTGGAGACAGATCAAGATTGGTGTATTTTTATAAAACTGCTAAAAACAACAAAACCATATCTTGGGCTTGCCCTAGTTTGGAGCCCTAGCTTCGCCACTGATTTTCCTTAATATTGCAATAAATAATTTCATTGGTGCCGTCAGTGATCGAACCCGGGTTGCTCGCGTTCTGCGAAATTTAATGCAAAAATTTGAGAACTACCTGATGTTGTGTTCACCTGATGGTGAGTGAAAGCTGTGGCACATGGATTGACCTCCGATTGAGAATCAAAATGCAGATGCTTTGTCATCCCTGAGGACTAAGATGGAATGCCTGGTTGCTAGTGACCTTGTCACTAGTGAAAAGGGTTACTTTTCGTTCCTTTACACTCACTGTAAAAAGCATAGCATCATTAAGCTTACTATTTTACGCTGGTATTCTGTGAGAACGTGGTCATTCCCGGTCGAGCCGACCCATCCGTGCTACAACCATAATATTAACATGATAAACATAATAAAATACTATTTTAAAGCTCTACACTACAATATTGCGGCGTGCTATTCTGACTTCATTATCCTCTCGATGAGTGTGAGATGTTTAGTAGTAAGAAGTTTATAGGTTGTAAGTTTACGGTTTTAATTTATAACTCATAAAAATATTGAAACTATTTTGCGTTATTAAGCTTCTAATGTTGCTCACCAGATTGTGCTTCCGCCATTAGCTAATCTACTGAATAGCGTTATAGGCCTCAATAGATTGCCTCATAGGGATCCCCCCCCATATCCACTATCCCATGTAGTCACGTGGGTGTCGTAAGAGGTGACTTAGATACGAGGGTGGATTGAAAAGTACTCGGCCTAACCAGGAAAATAAACACATACTAAATCAGTTATATTTTTATTTTTCTACATAATCACCATCAAGTTCAATACAATTTTGCCACCTCCCCTTCCAAGCATTTAGACCTTTGAAAAAAAATGATTCTTCCTTAGAGTCAAAATATGCGTCTACAGCTGCTTTGACCTCGTCGTTTGTCGAAAATCTTTGACCTCCCAAGTGCTTTTTTAGGTTAGGGAACAGAAAGAAGTCTGATGGTGCCAGATCAGGTGAATACGGCGGATGCGGTAACAGTTCAAAGCCACAGTTGTGAATTTCAGCCATTGACTGTACTGACGTGTGAACACGGACGTTATCTTGATGAAACAGGACTTTTCTTCTGAGCATTCCTCGACGTTTTTCTTTTATTTCCTCTCGTAAACGACGTAGTAAGGTGCAGTAGTAATCAGAGTTTATAGTCTGACTCCTTTCAAGATAATCAATCATAATCACACCTTTCGAGTCCCAGAATACTGAAGCCATCACCTTATTTGCCGACAAAATTGACTTAGCCTTTTTAGGGGGTGGTGAACCAGGTCTTCTCCACTGTTTTGATTGTTGTTTTCTTTCCGGTGTACAGTAATGAACCCATGTTTCGTCCATAGTAACAAAACGATTCAAAAAATCATCTGCATCGGCTTCAAATAACTCCAAACAGTCGCGTGAAATAGTCAATCGCGTCCTTTTTTGTTCAACTGAAAGCAGTCGCGGAACCCACCTCGCAGACACCTTGTGGAAACCCAACTCGTTGACAATGATGTTTTGAGTTCGTTCATAAGAGATGCCTATAATCTCGGCTATCTCTCTAATTTTTAATCTGCGGTCTCCCATTATTAAATCAAGTACTTTTTTAATATTTTCGTCAGTAGTTGACGTCGAAGGCCTTCCAGAGCGGGGTTCATCTTTCACAATCTCTCTACCACGCTTAAATTCTGCTATCCATTTTTTGACGGATGAATATGACAGAGACCAATCGCCTAATGTACTGACCATGTCATCATGGATGGCTTTTGATGATAGCCCCTTCTTATGGAGGTACTTAATGACGGCACGCTGCTCGATTTGCTCCATTCGCGGAAATTATGTCCGAATACTTTGTTAATAAATTTATAAAATCACAACTAATTATCGCACACGTTTCGAACTTCACACAATGAACTAGTCTGAACTGAACTAAATAATGTGGGTAGATTTGATTTTTAGAATTGAATGGATCTGTGTTAGGCCGAGTACTTTTCAATCCACCCTCGTATATAAGATGTTGATGATGAATAAATAAAGTTTCCACATAACAGCTAAAGCCAAGGCTCAATTGCTCTACATATACACTTTGTCTTACGAGTTGCACAAATTTCTGAAAAAGTTATGAAGGAATAAATAAAAATTTAATTTTAAAATACTAAATTAGTGTTTGCATATTTATAATTTGTAGATAAAAAGAACATTTCAAACTGTCCTTACCATTTTTTTTTTGATATTGGTTTTAAAACTTGAAAATAAACTTAATGGTTATAAAACTTGAAAATAAACTCAATTAATATTTAATATTATATTAAAAGAAAAATCTAGATATCCACGTAGAACATGAATACGAGCGTCGCAATAAATCATGTGCATAGTCTGAAAATAAACAAAATTCATGACAAACTGGTAATGGCGTAGCTCCTCCTGTGTAATATTTCTTTTCTCTTTAAACGCCTGTTTAAGTCAAGGAGCCTGGCTTTGATTAATAATAATAAGTGCCCTCCGATAGTGCATCGATCCGCATCATTTGTCACGGTTACACAAACCCGGGGATAAACCGAGGCATTATTCATTTATAAGTCTAAGCGGGCGTTATCTTTCGAAAATTGTTTTCAACGTATTATTATGTTTTATGCGTGCGGTGTTGCCATTTGTTACAAGTTTAAGTGTGCTTTTATGGGAAAAAAAGGTATTCAACTACATGGTAGAAGAATAAAAGGGTTAAGAGTTTTATTATACGTGCATCATCGCTGTCATTTATTATGAAAAAGTCCTAAGCAAAAATATCACATTATCTGCAAAAAGAAGTTTTACTTAAAACACATGTGTAATTTATTTTATTTCTAGCAATTCGCCCCGGCTTCGAACAGGTGATTTTTTAATCTCGACAACATGTGTATGTATAATACATATAAAGCTTCCTCTTGAATCATTGTCTATTGATGAAAAACGCATCAAAATCCGTTGCGTATTTTAAAAGATCTAAGAGTACAGACGGCGGAAGCGACATTCTTTATACTCTGGGTCAGGGGTTGCGAACCTTTATGTATCAACGTGGCATTTTTCTAAAGAAATGTTTAATTATGTAATAGAAATCTATAAA